ATTCTAGTAAACACTTTCCCTAACACAACATGTGAAAAACGAATACGCTGGATGCAGTGTCCTAAAATAAATTATAATGGTATGTTGTTAATATGCTTTATGGTAATATGTTTCATTTAATAACACATCACCCATTCGTAAGAAACAAGGTGATGTACAATGGTTTCTAACATATTCTTAAATATGTGATAATGAGACCACCAACATGCTGCCACACAAACATGTTTACAGCTAAACTCCAGGGCAAACAGATAAATACACATTCGTGAACGATTTTACAGTAGGTGGCAAAGGAACGGTGCGCCTGGCGTGGGTGTTGTAATTTTTTCAACTCAGCAGTTTATGGTATTTTATAAGACTGGTAATGATTAAAATTTTCGTGTTTTATTAATCAAATTTTTTTTAATCGATTAATTTCAATTATAACGCACATACAGATCCAACTACATTGCACTATACACATACTACACAGCAATGAAGTAATAAAATGAACTCTGATCACACTAATCCAGCACGTTATTAATCTCACGTGCCCCACTCAGAATAATAACGTGCTGGATTAGTGTGATCCGAGTTCATTTTATATCTTCATTGCTGTGCTGTATGTGCCGTCACGGACATCGACGTCACCGGACTCCTCCCCCCTTCCCTTCGTTAGCCGACGGAGCCACTTGGGGAAGGGGGGGAGGAGTCCAGTGACGTTGATGTCCGTGACGTCACCAGATCGCCGACGGGACTCCCAGAAGCCGGCGGAGAAGTGAGTGTTTTCATTAGCGATCAAAATAATTGTAATCGATCAAAAAGTTTAACGATTAATCGAGAAATTAATCTTTAATTTCCACAGCCCTAGTATTTTACATTAGTGACAGTGTTAATAACCAAGAATTGTCATGTTATGTGAAAGATGTAAAAAAGTCCCGAAACACACTGTGACAGATCCAAGCATCAAACTAGAACACACTGGTGAAAATGTTTAAAGGAAACTTGTCATAGGAAAAACATGGAGGCTGCCATTAATGAAATCTACTCCTGAAAATGTTAGTTTCATGGCTGCCATGCTGATACTCTTGTTTTAGTACTTTGAACCAATGACCCTTAATTAAGCCGATAAGGACTTTTCACTGACTTTCTTAATCTGCACTCTTATTCCAGTTCAATGGCTCAAACTACTGAACCTACTGATCAGCATAAGAACTAAGCATCTAGCATTTTCAGATTGAAATGGTAGCAATCTTTTTCTCACGTCAAGTGTATGTAAAAGGGCAAAACATTTGTATTTTTTTGGATGGATTGGGAAAGGGTTAACCCCTCTGTCAGGTTTTTTTTTTGCCGTTAGCATCCATGCTGGGGGGATTCACCCTCTCTATTTGTCCTGGTGGCCAGTGTCATGGAACCATAACATAAGGGGAAATTCTACAATTTAGAATAGTCAGAGCATGAGATGAAGAGTAATTGATCCAATGGGTACAAATATTCTGGTGACAACTATCTTTGGTGAGAATTCCTCTAACTTGGGGGAGATTTTTCTTCCTGTTGCGTCTCCAAGACAGTAAGTCAACTGATTTCTTTCCAGCAGGACACAGCAACAAATAACCTTGGAGGGTTTTACCATTCCTTTATCTTTCCAAAACTAAAAGAAACGTTTTGACTCACCATACACTTTATTAGAAAGCACAATGTTTAGACCGCACTCCTGTAGGTCAGACACAACTCTGGAGATTAACTACTGGTGGTGTGCGAAACTCCTCATAACAGGGGGAGGGACCCTGTGCACTAATAAAAACAAACAAACAGACAATTCAGCGATTTTCGTTGCCAGCGAGACCATCGGACACCTCGAGACAGCAGCCCTACAGCATTGCCAGTATATACGGCATCGGGCGCTGCTCGCGGCTTCTCGCTCTCTCCCTCACATTCCCCCAATCCCAGCCATCGCGGCCCGGCCTGGCCAGCCGAGTACGTGAGCGGCTCCAATCTTGCAGATATGTTCTAAGACCAGCTCAACATTTGACAACTTGAGGGTTTTAGCCATTCAGCCCAGCCCCCGGTTTTAGCCACTCACCTCTCATCTGCCAGATAGAAGGACCTGACCATCACATCCTGAAGTGAAGATCTGGGCAGAGTCTCCCATATCCCAACTGTAAGTTTACATCCTTTCCATTCTAGAAGATTGTTTCTATGCTCTCAGTTGATACTAGCATTGCCCATAAAAGTTATTCCAGGTAGTAGCGCTCCTCCAAGAAGAGTCTGTCTGTTTGTTTGTCATACACTTTATTAGGTTAAACTTTCTAGTCAGACAGGTGCAAAAACACAACGTCTGACCCAGCCTAAAGTCACATCAGTACTGGCATGGTGCAATATGCATACTTAAGATTAATGAAGAAATTTAAATCTGGTCACTTGCATATTATCTAGAAATGTACAATTCTGCACTATATATTTGACATTTGTTGCTGAAAATAAGCCATTACTTTTGCTCCACCTACAACTCTATATAGAACACATACAAATAGAAATGACTTGTAGAACAGAAACATTTAACTCACCATCTTTGACTGCACAATTTAGCATAAGAGCCATATGGCAAAATATCAGTACTGTATACAGTTATTCAAAGATCTATTAAACATCCAATAATTTAGGTTTGGATTAAGTGTCATTAGGTGCCATCACTGCAAAACTGAACATACCTCCCCAGGGTCATTATAAAGACTAGCTACATTGAAGTTCCCCAATACTACCCTTCCTCCGCTGGCACTACGCCAGATGCTTTTCAAGTCAGTCACTGTAAATTCTTTGAATACATTGCCAACGCCAGCAAGTGAACCTGGGGAGGTAAGCATCATTGTGTGGTGATGGTGCCCTTACTACTCCCCAACCAAAGTAAAATATGTACATTAAACCTATGGAGGATGACGAGTTTAAGAAGGCAATTTCTTGTATCATCTGATGAAAGCCATGTAAGCCAGTCCCTGTGCTTAACCATTAACCACAGGCCTCGGTAAAGTTTTTGAACATATTTCATAACAGTCATCAGACCTGCTGACATAAGCACTTTCCATGCTGTTCATTTTCCATCAAATAATGTAGATGTAAGAAAAATAAGGCATAAAAAAGCAGTTCTTTGCATTCTTTAGCAAACCAAAAAACTATACAAAGCATCAAAAGTTTTAAAAAAAGATGCTGACAGAGTGATTGCTTCTAGATTATTTTCCAGCATGTTTTCCAATAGAACATGCTGAAGAGGAGCAACAAGGTAATGGTTTAGTTATGCAGGCTTACTTATAACGGTACATGTACTGATGATGAGAATAGTGAAATAACTGATAGCAAACAATCAGCTTTCAGTTTACTTTACTTAGAAAAGTGTACTGTAAAATGAGATTGGTTGTCATGTGTTAATAAGTCCAAAAGACTGCTATGTTTATTTATTTTGCCTTTTGAATAAAATAAAATAGTGATGGTTATTTATTAATTCATGGAACTACACATGCTCATAAGCCCCTGTGATATACCACTGTGCGTGAGCTCAATGACCTTTTGTACATAACTGCTGTAAATGAAAATCATCTTTATAAAAGAAAAAGTAAGAATAATGGTGCAGTCACTAAAAATTATACATTTGTACTTGTTCCAGATGCTTCTGGGGAAAAAAGAAACACAACAGGTTACATTTTCTAAAAATAAGTTGTTTCCAGTAGTACTGCCTACAGCCTCCTGGCTCAGAATGCCATGCTCTAAGGTCCCTTTCACACTACAGGTGCTCTGGCACTCCAGCTGTTGTGGAACTATAAGTCCTATAAAGGCATTGCAAGACTGACAGCTATGGGCATGACTTTCAGAGGCAGATGCATGTAGCTTGGTAGGATCTATAGTTTCACCACAGCTGTAGGGCCAAAGTTTGGCTACACCTGTGATAACACTTGGGAATATGCAGGAACTGATGGCGCTATATAAACTACCTGAAATAAATAAATACATAAACGTGAACACATGTATTCTGGTGTGTTGCAGAAACTTGATTACCCATTCAAGATGAATGGGCTGCCTTAACATGACACCCCTTAGCACATGCGTGTTAATCTACTGCAACAACGTTCATTCTGCCTACAGGGTCTGTTCCTGGGAGGCTGATTATTAATTTAGCTCAGTGCAGAGTGGTTTTCCCATCACCAGTCTGTACACTCTAGTGGTGGTGAGGACAACCTGTTAACACCAAAAATAGGTGCATACAGAGGGTTAGGCTATGTTTCTGGGAACAATATTTAGTAAAAGTTGCTTGTCATAATGGCATTTTTTATTGGCTTCAGGGCAAGTACAAATGTATAGTATTCATGTTGAACAGTTAAACTTTAATGCATTTATGTAGAATTGCTTTCTCTGTATTGTGTTTTCGCTCTACCAGCAATGTAAGATGATGATATTGCAGGAAGCTCTTCCATTCCCATTGTTTCACAAATAATTTGCACCATATTGAAGTGGAGGAGGGCCCTTGCGTGCACTGTACGAGGCTGCATTTGTACCAACGTGTGAATACATTGCATTGAAAACACCTTGGATGAATACGCTAATGTATTTTAATCGATCATCTTCAAATAAAGAAAAAAAGGATTTTGTGATAGAATCTGAATTGTGTCTCCCCTAACAAAGTGGAAGAAAATAGTGTGCAATAATCAACAGCCACCAGTCTGAAATCAAAATCCTTCCACTTGACTTTCACTTAAAGCTTTTTCTTTGTGTAATAGGGAAATACTACTATACATTAGAAAACCCCTGCACCAATAGGGAAGATAACATTTAACAAAGCAGTGCAAAATGCAATAGCAATTAGATATATGGGTAAATCACAGTGATCATGGCAACCAATCAGATTTCAGTAAAAAGTCAGTCAGATCCTAACTGCTTTTTGCAGCTCACTCCACTTTGGTCTATACAAATGAATAGGTCTACCTGAGAGTGTAAAGAATTTCTCAGATGTTAATAATGTTACGGGTACTCACAGTGAATTCTCCCGTCACAGCATCAAAGCCCACATGAATGGTGTGTTCAAAATCTGAAGGAAGGGAGATTTCTGGGCGTTCCTTTTCTTTCTTCTTGTTGGCTGGGGTCAAAGTTATAAAAAGTTAGTTAAACTGTACCTTTTACTATGTACACATATCATTTGGCTTTTTTAATAAGAGTTCTTAATCTTTGTAGATAATCTTTAGGTGCAGTACCCCATAGAAATGAAGCAGAATCCATTCTGTACTGTACTTACGTTGGTGAATTTGATTGATCACTAGGAGTTATAGTACTTTAGATAAGAACTCTAAAAGGAATAAAGTCAACATAACACATTGTGTTGTTTAACCAGTTGTAGGCACTGGATGTGCTACACATATAAAAATCGAACTACACAGGTCATATGTAGTACACCCTTTCCTTCTGCCCACTGCTGCTCCCCTCCTTGCACTTGTGCCAACAAGTGCAAGGAGGGGATATACTCGCCTGATCCTCAGTCCTGTGGGGTCTGGAATGCTAGAGCCGGACCCCACAGCAGGTGAGCCCTCACTGCCAAGGGAATGAGGATCAGGTGAGTAAAACTGCTTTGACTCCCCTAGACAAAACAAGCACTTAACCCTTGCAGTGCGGGGGTAGTTTTTAAAATTCCTCAAGTTCTTGCTGTGTGTGTCTCCAAAAACATACACACAAGGCAGCAAGGCAAGCGACTCTCCTACTACCCCCTGCTCCTCCCTTCTCCTTTCCCTAAGCTAGTAGAAGGACAGCTGCTGAAAGCTGTGCTATTCTTTGTGATCTTGTACTAAACAGGAAGTTCAAGGAAGTGGAGCTGAGAGGGTTGGAGCTGTTTGGAAACATGATGACTGCATGTGCTTGGGCAAAAATTTAAAGAAATGCTTTGCTGGGCAGTTTATATGTGTTTGATTTGGAACTCATTATTGAAAAGAAATTAAGAGTTTAATACTACTTTAAGCTTGTATTCAAGATATTAATAAATGTTTGCCTGTGCTCATTAACTTGACAGTCCTATCTCCATCCCCAGCCATCTGAATGGACAATGAAAGAGCAGCAATCCTGTTCCTTTCCCATTTCCAGTCCTGCTCCTCCCTTTCACAGTCTGAGTAGTTCTGTATATTGCAAGAGGTTGATTCAGGGGCGTAACAATAGCTATAGCCCATGCGGCTGCTTGGGGCCTGGGAGTGGAAGGGGGCCCCCATGAAGGATTGCTGAAGTGGCTGTTGACCCTGTAACTCCTTATGGCATTTCCAAGTAAGAAGAGTTGACATCAGATGTACAGGAAGAGACTATGCAGACAGTTCTCCTGCTACCTGTCCTTGATTTCCATTTTAAGGGTTTACCATGGGGCCCAATAAAATGTTTTGCTATGGGGCCCCATGATCTGTAGTTACGCCGCTGGGTTGATTCAAAGTCAAGTTTAGGTACTTACAACAGTGTGTGTGTGTGTGTGTGTCTTGGGATTCTACTATCCAATACAGCAGTAATCCCATAATCTTAAACCCTGGCGTACCAGACCTGCACTTGCCACTAATTTTTTTCTATGCAATTTCCCTGATTAGAAAGGAAAAAAAACAAAACGTTATTTTTTACTCTTGAACAATTGAAAAATCCAATTGTTTCTAAAAGCTCACATACACTATTTTCAAAGTTCCTTTTCTTTCTAGGTGTTGCAGCTTTAAGGACACCTCTAAATCCTGGGAACACTGACTTCACCACGCCGCTTCCCAGTGATCCGTAAATAACCCCCAGTTTAGTTGGAAAGACAATTCCAAGTCTATTTCCTCTGTGTTCCCGCACAGTCCCTTGGCACGTGCAGGCAGACTGAAATATAAGCTTTTCTAATGAAAAGCAGCCCAGTAACATTACACTTAATGGCAGATACCCCAAATTGCTAAAACATGTGGGTATGATTTACAAGATAACAAGTAACACTAAGAATACTGTGTTTCACTGCTTAGTCTGGAGCGATCAATGTTGAAGGCATTTCCTCTCTCAGAGTCTGTTACACATCATGGTAATTAAAGGTGCAGTCTCAGCCACTCAATTCAAAATAGATTTAAGACTTTCCCTTTTTTATTTTATCAGTGTGCTTTATTTCTTCAATTCTTACGAACATGACTCTACTTTTATGATCTCATTGGCTATACAGATATTTTTTTGTCTGGTCAGGACAAGAATATGCACATTTTATTAGGGCTGCGAAAAATAACGATTAATTCCTCAATTAATCGTAAATTTTTTTTGATCGATCAAAATTATTTTGATTGGTACTCACATCTCCGCCGGCTTCCGGGTCTTCCGTCGGAGATCCTGTGACGTCACGGACATCGACATCACCGGACTCCTCCCCCTTCCCCAAGTGGCTCCTTCGGCTAACGAAGGGAAGGGGGTAGGCAGAGCCATAGCTAGCTCCTTTTGCGCCCGAGGCAAGAACGGAAAATTGTGCCCCTCAACAGACGTGTGCGGTATGCGACGTCTTATGAAACTAATTAAAACATTTTTAGTTTCTGGGGAATTCGGGGGAAATATTGGGGGTCTAAACAGACCCCTGACATTTCCCTTTTTAAATAGAGATTGAGACAAGAGATTGAGGACACAGCAGAGTCCTCTGCCCATACAGGTGGGGAGAGCAGCAGGGATCCGAGGAGAAGAGGAGCCTCTGCCGCTCCTCTTCTCCCTGTTGAGCCGCGGCTGTGTTGGCCGCCTGGCGTCCCTGTTGCCAATGCCGCCCTGTGCTCGCCTTGGCAACCCCCTGGCTGCGCCCCCTCTCAGCTGCGCCTGAGGCGAGTTTTATTCCCTATGATATTTATTCCCTATGATATTTATAATGGATTGTGCTGATAGAGAATATCATATCTGGCATATGGCTGTAAGTAGCATAAATGTGGAAGCATTGGTTTGTAATGTGCCTGTATTAGCAGTGATCTCATGTAGTCTCATGTATTGTGTCTCCAGTCTATGACTGACCCCTGAAGCATGGCTTGTGTCCCCAACAATTCTTAAAGTATGTTTGCAGTCTCCGACCACCTTCTTCTGCACATCTAAAGTTTTACAGCTTGTTGTACCAATTAATTCACTGAATGAAAACGTGAGGAGCCACACTTGAGGCTCCCTTTATCAAATAAATTAACCACCAGCGTCCTACACGGTCTTCTTATCACATGCGATTTCCCTGTTGGTTGCATCACTTACAAATATCAACTCTTGTGATCCAACTTTTTTTGGTGCTATTATTGCTAGCTGATAAATATGCCAATGGCTCTACAAAGGTTCATGCTGGTTCCTCAATTGGACTGCTTAGTGCAATCAAGCTGTCAAAAATTTCCTGTGTAGCTTTGGCTTAGTGAGGTGACTGCTAGCAAGAAGGTAAATCTCTCAGCAGCAAGAGATTAAAATTGTCCATGTAGCTAAGCACTTCTAGTGCATGTGATTTGTGAAATTTTGCCTCATCTACAATCGTAAATTTGTTGCAGACCTTTGCAGAAGAGTCCAAGTTGGCTGCTTAGGACTGCAGGTGCATGGGTCGCAAATACACGTGAACTTTGCTAAATGAAAGGCAACCAGATTTACAATAAATATGCCTCTAATGCTGTCCCTAATTTGCCAGATAAATGCCCCTCTATTTGTCATAGTATCTGATTGAAACCACGTGATCCACCTATCATGTTGACTACTTGAAGGCAATTTCATCCAATAAGCGAATAACATCAAAGAGCATGGCACAGAGGACATATTGCCCTTGTCTAATGTCATACACTGATACTTTACTTTTATCCCCTCCTCCTGGGAAGATGGAGCGCAGCCTGGCTTTCTTGTTCTTTTCTTCGGGTGCCATTGGTAGTGGTTTTGAGCAGTGATTTAGTGCTGAAGAATCACGATTATTACTGTTCATTCTAAGAGGGGGGGCTGGAGGTTTCTCTTCAATATCCACACTATCGGACATCTTCAGCAGTCCTCACAGCCTTCTGTCAGATAAAAAAAAAGAAAAAAGAAAAAGAGAATTGAGCTTACAGCTAACACAAAGCAAAACATGTACAGTAAGTCCACTACATATGGACAAGTTCCGTTACGAGATTGTTCGTAACTCCAACAAAGTTAGCCTAGGTACCCAACTAACACAATTGGCTATATAGTACTGTACTGTAATTGGTTTAGAATACTTTTCACACAAATAATACATTAAAAAAAACATGATTTGAAATGTGAACGCACGTTTGCATATTCAAAAGTTTGCAACGTGAAGGTTCCTATGTAGAAGACTTACTGTATAAGCAAATATGGCTGTGCATTTTACATATATCGCCATACTACGAGTTAGTAAATATATCCTTAGAGCAAAGGAACAGGTATATTTTAATACCCAGTCCCACTCTGCTCAATTTAGTACCAACAGCTTTAGGAAATGCCAGTTACTTCTGGCTAAGGAGCAGAATGTCACTCACTTTATGTGACAGCAGATGGACACCTGGGAAATATAGGAGCATGCAGCGTGGGCTCAACTGAAACGTTGTGGACTTGGCATGTCGACTGTTGACTTGATACAACACAAGGAAAATCAGCACTATCACGTGGGCAGTTCTTTGCCCTGTGTAAGCTAGGACTCCAGTAGCTCGTATCTCACATGGGGCTTTCATTTCATTCCTGGCCACTGAATGGAGCTGCATGAGAGCAAAAGGAAGGTAGATACTGTGTAAGCTATTCAGGAGGACTGAGATAAAGTAGACCTGCTGCTTTGCCTTGCATAGTAACTTTAAATAAAGTCTGTTTTGACAGAAATACAGGGGCAGCCATTGCTACCCTTCTGTCCCCTCTAATACTGATAAATGCCTGTCTGTAAGGTTGACCCACTGGCTTTCCTATACTTTATAAGCAAATCAGGAAAGGCAGCAGACCTTATCTGTATACTTGGTCCATGACAGTGACATATAATACTAAAGCAAGAGGGGGGGCTGGTATGACATCCAGGCAACTAACATTTTCAAGAAGAGACGAAAGCAATAGCAGCCACAGCGTTCCTTTTATGACAGTGATTCTTTAAAGGAAATGTAGAATTCTTTTTTTTTAAATATATTAAACATATAAAGAAATTAGCAAGATATAAATCTCATTAATGTATGTTAATATTTTGAAAACCTTGGTTCTAAACTTGTATTATATATGAACATGGGGCAGCCAAATTTCTTAATTAAACATGCTCTTCTCCTGCTTGCAGTGCTACACAATGATTGTACTTTGCTGTTCCTTCTTACAATACAGGTATATGACTCGTGTTGCCCTGCCAATGGAGCGCAACTTGGGCTCCTTCTCATTGCTTCCATTGGCCATAATAATAACTATATTCCAGCAATGGCCTAGTCTCTGCCACGTTGTTGGACAACACTGGCAGCTTACGCCTCCCTGCTTGCCTCCTATTGGCTTGCATTCTGTCAGTGCCTGATTTAAACAAGCCCTGTGCCCAGGGCTTGTGGTAGGTTTATTCACCTACCTCACTAGCTGCCATTTGCCAGTACCATTTTTCTGATCTGTCTGCTGCCTGTACCAACACCTGCCTGTTGCACAGCCTAATCTCTGCCTGTTATTGACCACGTCTTCTGTCTGCTGCCCACATCAACCTTTGCCTGTTATTGACCAGGTGCTTGCTGCCTTGACTGACCCCTGCCTGCTATTGACCAGGCCTTCTGCCTGCTGCCTGGACTGACCTGTGCCTGTTATAGATCAAATATCATGCCTGCTGCCTGGACTGACCTCGCTGCACATCTTTCTGACTGCATCTGCTGTGGCACTAGTCTTAGCCTCTGCAGACCCCTGGAACTCTTTAGAACCACAAGTACCCCTTTTCATGTATCTTGTTCTGCCTCTTGTGCTATTTAGCCAAAGAATGTAGCAGTGTGTAATAAGTCCTAGGGGCAGCCAAGTACCACTAGGCCTACTTGTCTTAGGAGAACAGTGGCTGCTATAGGTGAAGCTACACTAGCCAGCTTTATTCTCTGACCTCTTGTACAGGAGTGAGCATTAAACAAACTAGTTAAAATGCCAGACACATGAAACATTACTTAAAAGTAAACAAACACAATATAAAACAACTAAAACATGTGCCAATTGGATCACAAAAACACACCTAGACTGCATTAAGGACACTGTTAGGACACCGACAGAACATGAACTACACAGAGTGGCTAATTTATTACAACTAGAGGAAAAAGAGTAAATGGAAATAGAAGGTAAAGCCTATCTGGCCACTAATGCCAGCAAATTCAGTATTTTCTCATTTTCTTTTAGTCTCTAAAGACATTTGGGTCATATTACGGTGACATAGAGCAAAAGAGCTGCAGGATAGCAGTATGGGAGCTGCCATTGTTGACCTGTTTTTGTAGGTGCAAGGTGTCAGGCTCCCATTTTAATCCATGCTCTACCACTCAGTGAGCCACTGACCTGGAACAAGCATACTCTATGAATATTAGGTGCCCTGATGTCTGATATGCACATGCTTGTTTCAGGTCAGTATTTCATCAAATGGTAATGGAAAAATAAGGATGACAGTCATATACCTTCAAAAAACAAGTCAGCAGATCCCATGTATCTATTCTTAAGAAAGCAAGAAGTTGCATTTAACTTTAACAAAAAACTACAAGAAGCGTTCCACTGTGTTTGCTGGAAAGTTTGTTTTTGATGCTCTTGGCCAGAAAAGCTTTTTATTCAATATATGGGCGTAGGAGTTTCCATTTCAAATTCCTGAATAAATAGTAACATAATAGTAATACTTAAACAATGCTCTGGTCCTGTTCACAGTGCAGACGGTAAAACTCTAGATCACAGCTTTTGGCCAAAACTGTAAAGGTTCTTCCTACAGTAGTGACATCACTGCATTTAAATTCACATTCTGTGATGAAGCGCGTGTGGCAGTCTATAAAAACAGATCATGCCTAACGCATTGAATTACTATCAAAACCTCATGCAACTTATTAAAACCCAAAGTTTGTTTAAAAGGAAGTCAGCTAGTCACATTTTAAAGCAACTTAAAAAAATCACAAAATAACTTAAATCAGGACTCCAGGTTTAACTCAACAACCCCACAAATCCCCCCTCCCCCCAACACACACTATCTATACTATCCATCTATCTTGCACATAGATACACATTTTTGTTATTTTTTTGCAAGGATCTTCTGGCTGATACAGTGATCACCGGTCCTTCTTCCCCCAACAGGTGTATCCATGACAGCCTGAACTCAGAGGAAGGTGTGTTGAATGATAACAGAGTGACAACATCTAGTGACATAAAAGGAACTACTGGAGGGGACAGCTCCGAAGTGCAAAAGGAGAATTGAAGCAAAAAATTGTTTTTTTTTTGTTTTGTTTCTTTAAACAATGCTGGCCCCTGGTTTATTCATTTAAAACATGGCATTGTACTTTAAAGCTTTTTTTTGTATAATAGCTTGCTTGAATGTATAAAGAAGAACAGAAATCTTAAATAACATGCTTTCCTACAGATAATCCTGCACCGGGTTCCTTCCTGTGATGACTATGTGATCAGAGTTTTAGGCTATTGGTTCCTTAAAATAAATTATTCAGCAGCTTTATGCAAGTTAAGAACATTTCTTATATCTGTATACACTTAGACTCACACACACACACACACACTATATTGGCTCCATATAAATAGTGGTCTGACTCATGGGCATCCGTTCTACACACCTATAGTCTCTTATAATCCCTCTCATCAATGCCACCTTCCCCAGTTCCCCCCTGATTGACAGGCTAAGCAGTTGTAAAAGGCATAGTTTAAGTCAGATATAAAACGCAACAACAAAGGATTCTCAGAGCAGTGCTGGTTTTCTAAAGAGAAAGCACAGCAGAAGTTGTCTCCTTTTAAGCATGCTCTCACCGACATCTCTGACCGAACCTTAAGGAAAAAGAACATTTTGAAATGACACCTGCGATTTCAGAAGGAGAATGCAATACATTTATATGCCATATTTTATATTTACCAGTCTTAAAATATATATTTAGGATAGGTGCAAAACCACCATGCATTTCTTTTAAAGAGTTCTGTCTTCATCCCAGGTTCCCATAGAAATCAGACAGCGTGAGATGTTATATCTTGTGAGCCTATCATGCTCTCTTGTACTGTACTACTGTCAGTCTAATTTGTTTCAGACACTGGGACCTCCCCAGCATTCTAAAAGCTCACTCACTGCCAACACAGTAGACCAGGGGTCAGCAACCCCCGGGAATGCATGCCCTGCCTGGCACGTGAGACCTTGACAACTGGCACGCTGTCAAGGTCTCACGAGTCGACCTTTTTGCTTGTAGTTGACAGCTCCCTCGAGCCGGCTGTCAATTACATTTACTGGCCCACCCACCTCAGTGACGTGGCTGAGCGGCATAGGAACGCAGTGGCACGCTGACGGGGCCCTCAGCTCGTTCTGCGCATGCTCCTGCCTGAAGGATCCCTCTTGTGCCAGCCCGCCAGACAGGAGCGGGCTCACCCACGCCTGATGTGATGGGACGGGATTACTGTACCCTGCCCGACAGGAGGAATCTACTGCACACCCTGCCCCAGCACAGAAAAAGGAGCCAGACGATCATCTGGAATATACAGCAGGTACCACATGTATACTGCTCACATACATAAACATTAACCCTCGTTCCAGCACACATGCATTCCCTCACAAATGCAGCAGTATATTGATCCACAAATAGCTTTGATTTTATTCCTGCCCTTATATGTAGAACAGGAATAAAATCAGTGCTTTTTGTGGCTAATATTACTGTGCGCACTAATCTGCGTGTGTGCCTAATATGCCTTGGTCCATGTAGGTAAGGAAGGCTGCTTCTAAAATAAAACAATTTCAAACATGAGAAATTGAAAACTTGTCATACAGTTTCTGTGGCTGATATGCAGGCTAAAGTGTGGTGAAATGGCCATGGTGTTTACTGATGGTCTGAGGTCTGTCATGTGTTTG